TCTTTTCCTCATCTTTGTTCATGAGGGATGTTTGTATGTAGTTTTCTTTTCTTGTAATGTCATTTTCAGGTTTCACCTTCAGGTTAAAGCTTGTTACAGAATGGGTGGGGAAATATTTCCTCCTCTTCAATTTTGTGGAAGAGTTTTTTCAAATTATTGTTATTTGTTACTGAAATGTTTGGTGGAATTCGTCAGTGAAGCGAAGTCTTCTTTGTGGGGAGGTTTTTAACTACAAATTTGATTTCTTTAATAGATACAGGGCTATTCAGGTTACTATTTTTTCTTGATTGAACTTTGGTAGTTTGTTTCCTTTAAGAAAACTGTCCATTTTATCTATGTCAAAGTTACTACCATAAAGTGGTTCCTAATATTATTATCCTTTTGAGATCTGTGGTGTCTGTGGTACTGTTCCTTATTCCAGATGTTGTCTTTGTATCTTTTTCTTGATCATTTTGTCTAGAGGCTTGTCAATTTCATTAATCTCACAGAATCAACATTTGATTTCATTGGTATTTTTTTCTTTTCCATTTAGTTGATTTCTGTTCTTTATCATTTCCTTTCTTCTGTTTATTTTGAGTTTAATTTGCTCTTAGTTTTCTAATTTCTTAAGTAGAAGCTGAGATCATGGATTTGAAACTTTTCTCAATGTTAAATAGGATTTAATTAAACATGGATTTATTGAGTGTTTCCTGTATGTGATTTTGGGGGAGGTACATTGGAAAATACTGAGCTATCAAAATTAGTCTCTACTGTTTAGAAGTCTAATTGCATTTTGAAAGTCAATATTTTCCCCTTAGAAATCACTGTAGGGCTTTGTAAAGGTCATTGTAAACTGTTGCAGTGTTTAAGTTGGGCCTTGAAAAATAAATAGGATTTAGTGAAGCAGAAGGGTGGAGTAGTACCATAATCACAGAGTTGAAGAGAATTTTGAGGTTATTAAGCTCACCCCCCTAATTCTGCTGATGAGGCACAAAGTTGCTATAAGATCAGACAGACAAATAACAAGAAAAGATG